GATTTCTACAATGCGTGAAAGTGAAACTTGTCTTGGAGGTGTGTGATTCCAGGTTGCTTCAAGCTTTCCAGATCTGAGAATGAGAGAATCAGCTTTTGGGAAGATGGGGAAGGTGAGTTTCCCGTGACCTTAGAAATCCAGAAGGGTCAGGCTGACTGTCAAGGTATAATGCACGAATTTCTTCAGGCAGCGTAACAGATGCTCATCTGTGAAAAACCTGAGAAATGTTTTTCAGCTTGTTTCTTACATAAAGACAGAGAATACAGATCATCCCTATCACATGTTTTCTTTTTTCTGTAGGAAATTTTCCTGAGCAGGGCACTGGCAGTGGCAGCTTGCACCTGAGCATGTTGTCAGGCTGCTGCTGGAGGCATGAGGAGGTGGAGGGAGCCTGTGATTCCTTTTAGGTGGTTCTTGTTTCTTTGGGGGGTTCCTGTCCCACTCTGCCACTCCCTGGGAAATCTTGTTCCCTCTGGTCATGTTCCTGTGAGCACCATGATGCTGTTTCAACTCTGGAAATGGGTTCAGGAATGAAAGATGAGACAAGCTGTAGACAAGGGAATGTCCACTTTTCCTACTGCTGCTGGAAATACTGAGCCCTTTTAATGTCTGATTTTTTCTACCACAGATGTGTTCAAAAGGCTGAATTGCCTCTCCTCCTTGGTCACCTCTGTTTTCCTTTGTTTACCTTCTCCTGTGCCATTTTGACTTTTTCAGCCACTGCACGTGGCTCTTCCCAATTTTCCACCCCCCATCCAATGTCTTTCTGAGTGTCCTGCCTCAGCTTCTCCAAGTCATGGCACAGTTCCCCTTCTTCCCAATGTCATCTGTTTGCTGAGAGGGGACAGGAGTCCTGTCCCTGGAAAGACCATGGGGCAGCATTTTCCCATCCTTGGACACATGGGATTGCAGCCTGTGCTAGCTGTCCAAAAGCAGCTTTTAATGTCTGTTGGCATGGAGACAAGCATTTGGAGGAATTGCCATTGATATACCTGCATCCCTTGAGCAGGAGAGGGAACCTCCAGCTGGATCCACTTGCAACTATGGTCATACAGACCTTCCCCTGTGCTGCTCCTGCCCTCCCTGGCATCTCCCTATGGGCACTGAGTGGCATGAGGGGTGAGTCTCCCTTGCAGGGAGGTGGTGTGAAGTGGCCCATGCACCTCATCCCTTCCTTGCCTCTCAGATCCTGTCTCTCCTGTGCCACAGGACTTGGCCTGTGTTCTTGGCACGGAGAATGCCTCCCTGGCTCCCTCAGCACTCTGCTCTGTGACTCTGGTCTGTTCCTCCATGAACAGCTTTCTGGCCCATTCCTTGACAAATAACTTCCAGCAGCTCTTCCAGGATCTTTGTCTCATCGCTCCAAAGTGAATAGTGTCCCTGAAGTGACAGCAGTGACTGAAAATGAATGAATGAGCAGCTTCAGGTGGTTACTGATCCGCAGCCAAGCTGCAGCTCAGGGCTGCACTCTGGATTTCCATCACGTTTGCACTGTCAGCCTCACTCCGTGCCCAGCACTTGCTTTTCTCTGTGGTTCTGTTGAGGATTTATTCTGCACCCCCCTGTGTGTGTCTGAACTCTTCCATTGGCAGTTGTGGTTCTGTCTCTCCTGATAGAGGCAAGTCTGAAAATAACAGGATTGATCTTGGATCTGCTGCAGCTGCAGCAGCCATCCTCTGCAGCCTCTGCTCAAAACACCTCTGTAATTCCTCATGTGTCTTTGGGTTTCTGTGCTGCATTTTGGGCTGCCTAAACACCTGAAAGTCCATCCATACGCTGAGTGCTGCAGGCACAGGCACTGTTCCAGCGAGCTGTGCCTCTGGCTCCCTGGATTTGCAAGCCTCTGTTGCTTGTAGCACAAGTGAGGAGCTGTGACCCTCTCCATGAGCCCCTGCATGACCAGGACTCTTGGCACACTGATCACCCCACAGCTGTGTCTCAAGTCTTTGGGTAGGATCCTGCCACACAGAGGAGTCCCAAAATGGGTGGTGGCCTTCCTGGAGGTTGGAAGCTGTGGGGTCTGGAAATGGAAAATGCTGTTGTGTAGCAGGTCAAGAAGTTTTCAAAGTGGGCATGTTGGCTTCCATAGCACTCTGCAGAGCTCAGAAGAGGAAGAAAATGTTTATTCATGAGCCTCTTGATGAGATCAAATCTGGCTAAAAAGGTCTTTCACATAAAGGTGGTCCTGCCCAAGGTCTGGGGTGGAGGAGGCTGTGGACCTGCCCTGCTCTGGTAGCCCGGTGTTAGTGCCACAAACCTGCCCAGCATGCTGAGCTGTGGCAGTTTGGAGAGAGCCAAGTGTGGGGCCACAGCAGTGGCACAAGGGGACAGGCAGGATGAGCTGCCAGCCTTAGCTCCAGTATGGGAAGGTGCTCCAGTTCACAGTAGCCAAAAGCATGGTTGGACTCATCCCCAGTCTCAGCTGAGGCAGCCAGAGCATGGTGTCCTGGCTCTGCGGAGTGACAAGGACAGAACTGTGCCTAGAACATTCATCCTTCTCACCTGCCTTGCAGAAGGCTGAGCCTGGAAAGCGTGTGACACAAGGAGCCAGAGCACGGAGAGTGTGGGACACATGTAACCATCTTGGGAACAGCCTCTTCCCTCCACAGGGTGCTGAGAGGTATTAGGGGAGATGAAACCTCAAAACCTCATGGTGGGTGCTGGAGGGCTGCTCTGACACCAGACAAGGTCTGTCCCTTGCAGTATGATGGTGGCTTTGTACATCCTTCCATGAGTGAGACCATCCCTGGCACTGGAGTGATTCACAGCAACAAGGTCTGTGTCCCCCTCACTGGGGGGGGGAGTGAGCCCCTGCCCTCATAAGCTGAAGTAGATAAGTGCAGCACCTGAGCTGTGCCTGGCACCTAACTGTGCCCAGTGCTTAAGTTCCACCAATGAAACATCTCAGCACAATGGGATCCTGCTCCTGCACTCCCACCTGAGATGCCCACAGGTGTCCCTTGACATCAGGGTTCTTTAAAGGCACCTGCATGGTGGTGGCCAAAAATCCTGTTCCTGTTCCACTTCTTGGAGTGGAACAGGATGCAAGGACCTGATTTTCAAGCTAATACATGTAGGGCTGAGAGCAGGAGTTTCAAATCTCTGGGAGGGAGATGGGCCCTTCCCCTGCAGGAAGCCTTGACCCTGATGGTCCCAGCTCTCCGGGAAAGCCCAAGGGCACAGAGTTTATGATGGAATGTTTTAGAGAGGAAGCAGAGATAGTAGAGGGATGGATATGGATAACAGGGGAAGAGCACACATGGGGTGTGCTCTTCCCCTATTATCCATATCCATATCCATATCCATATCCATCCACCCCAATGGGAATACTGGGGTGGTCTTGGTGTAATCCGGCAGTGCTGTCCCAGGGGGATGAGCTCTTCCAGAGGAGCGGGAAGGGAGCCCGAACCCCCGCTCTCGTCCCGCCCCGGGGTTCCCGGAGATCCCGGGGGTCCCGGGGGTGCCGGGGACCGACTCCGCAGGTTCCGGCTGGAGCCGCCAGGGGGCGCCGCGCCCCAGAGGCGCTCGGAGCCCGGGCCGGGATCACCTGTGGGGGAATGAGGGGCAGCGCTGGGAGCGGGGAAACCGGGCTGTGCGGGGAAACCGGGCTGTGCGGGGAAACGGGGCACTGCGGGGAAACGGGGCACTGCGGGGAAACCGGGCTGTGCGGCGAAACCGGGGCTGTGCGGGGGGTGCAGGGTAAACGGGGCAGTGCGGGATAAACGGGGCAAACGGGGCTGTGCAGGAGGAGCGGGGTAACCGGGCCTGTGCGGGACAGTGCGGGGTGAGTGGGGTAGAGTGGAGTAGAGTGGAGCTGTGCGGGGCGAGGGGGCCGTGCATGGCATGTGGGACAGTGCGCGGTGAACGGGGCTGGGAGAGGTGAGCGGGGTGAGTGGAGCCACGCGCGGTGAGTGGGGTGGTGTGTGGGGTGTTGTGTGGGGTGGTGAGTGGGGTGGTCTGTCGGGTGGTGAGTGGGATGGTATGTGGGGTGGTGAGTGGGGTGGTCTGTTGGGTGGTGAGTGGGATGGTGTGTGGGGTGGTGTGTGGGGTATGCGGACCAGTGAGGCGTGAGTGGGGCTGGACGCAGGGTGAGCTGCGTTGGGTTTGGCTGCAACACCCACGGGGGAGACCCCCCAGCCCTGGGCACCCCAGGGATGCTGGACGCTGTCGGACTGCGGGAACTGCGGCCCGTGGCCCCGCGGCTGGATGCAATGGCCCCAGGACCTGCAGGAACCTGCAGGCCTCGGCTGTGGGAGATCCTGCTCCTTCTTAGCCCTGCAGCGGGGAGGGAGAGGGTTTGCCAAAAGTGGCAAACTGGCAGCATCTGTCTGAGCCCTGCTGGCACTTCTCTGCTCCCTGTGGGCTTGGTTTTGGGGTCCTAAGGGTGGATCCCCATTGTCCCCAGGCTGGGGGTCCGAGCCAGCCCGTCCTGCTGGTGCCACCAAACCTCGCTGTCTGCAGGACCCCCCAGCACCACTGCCACCGCCCCAGGGACACCCAGGGTGGCTCTTGGGGCTGCCGTGCTGTGCATCCCTCCGCACCCTTCAGAGCACTGTAATGTGGTGTCCCACAGCTATGACCTCCCCAGGTGTGATCCCTCCCGATGTTATTCCCAGATGTGACTTCCTCCTGTGGCCTCCCTCAGTATGACACCCCACGTGTGACGTCCCTTGGGTGTGACCCGCAGCTGCGACCTTCTCGCGTGGACCCCTCCCAGTGAGACCCCTTCTCGTAGATGGGACACCCCCACGTGTGGGTCCCCCGGGTGTGACCCGCAGCTGTGACACCTCATTTTTCCCGGGGGCGCCCCCCCGCCCGGTGACATCCCCTTGCAGCTGTGCCCTTCCCAGCTGTGCCCTCCCCTCCTCCGGTGCGAGACCCCGCGTGCCGCCTCCCCGCAGTGTGACTGCGAGCTGTGAGCGTCCCCGTGCCGGTGTCCCCCCCGCCACGGCAGGGTCCCCGCGGTGTCGCCCGCCCCTCTCCGCAGCGCTGCACGCATGCTCCGCGCCCGCCCCTCCCCGCTCTGGCCGTTCCCAGCGGCAGCGGGGCAAGGATGAAGGACCGGACCGGGGAGCTGCGCGCTGTGAGTGCGGGGCGCCGCCGGGGCTGCGGGGATGCGGGCAGCCCCCTGCCCCATCGGGGACCGCCCCAAGCCGTCTGGGCCCCCCTCCCTGGGCAGGGGCCGCCCTGCCCTGAACGGCGGCGGCGAGGGGGTTGGGCGGGGGCTGGGAGCAGGGGATGAGCCCCCTGGATTAGAGGGAGGGGTGGGGGGTCCCCCGGGCTGCGCCGCCCGCACGCCGCGGAACGCTGCGGCTGTGCCCGGCTGCGGGCGGCGATGTGCGCGGCAGCGGGGCCGCGGCGGCGGAGCGGCATCGCCGCGGGGAGGAGCGGACACGGACGTGTGTTTGTACGGCGCGGGCGGGGGCTGCCCGCGGGCGGCGGGGTCGTGCCGTGCCGTGCCGTGCCGTGCCCGCCCCGCTCCCCTCCCGTTTTGCGTGCTCATCCTCCGGCGCAGCCGCTGCGGCGGGGCCGGGGCCGCCTGCGGCCGCTGCGCCGCCGTGACCCCAGCGCCGTGACCCGGCTTGTCGGGGAGGCCTCGGGCTGGGTGCGCGGCCGCAGCCGGTCCCGGGTGCCGCGGACAGGAGCCCCGAGCCCCCCGCGGTCGCGGAGCGCGGGCGGGGGCAGGCGGCGGCGGCTGCGCGCATGGAGCATCGGGGGAAGGAGGCTCCGGTGCCCCGCTGCCCTTGCCCGGGCACCCTCGGGGCCGCCGAGCTGCTGCTGCCCACGCGTGGGGCCGAGCCCTGGGGACAGCGCCAGTGGCCGGAGGGGCAGAGCCCGAAATCCCGGGGTGCTGCTCCAGCCCCCGCCCCGTACCACCCCCGGTCCTCCCTCCAGTGCTTTTTCTCGTTTAGTTTTTTTTTTTTTTCCCTTTTTTTTGGTGCATTTTTTAAAATTACTTCACGGTTGGCGCTGCAGAACCTGGGATTGCAGGAGGGTCTGTCCCGTGGGGAGGGCTCTGCCATAGAGCTCGGGGCAGTGGGGACCTCTGTGGTGTCCAGTCTGGCCGGGCATCAGAGCTGCCACCAGCATCACTTGGCTGGGAGTTTGGTTTGGTCTGAAAAACACCGGGAGGATGGGCCTGGGGTGATGCCAGCGAGGGGCTGAGGGGTGGCTGTCAGGGATGGTGGGCAGCTGCTGGGGTGATTGGGCAGCTCTGAATGCCCAGGGCTCACTGTATGTGCCCAGGGGTGGCTGTGGATTCTGGGGGAGGAAGAGGCTCCTCAAAGAGCTGCCTCCCCACTCTGCCTGGAAAACACCCAAACATGGGGCTCTGTCTCCACCACCAGCACAGGCTGTGAAATGGGATTGGAAAGCAGGCTTTTTAATAATAATAGTAAAAAGAAGCCTCATGAATGTCCTTTTGGCAGCCGTTGCTGGCTGAGAAGTGATGCCATGGAGTATTTTAAAATTTCTCTGTTCCTTTAAATACGCCTTAAGAAAAATAAAATGTGTTTTCGCCTCACTCCCGCTGCTGCTCCTTATTCATCAGCCTCATGCTGAGGATGCAGCATTCTTCCCGGGGACTCCTGGGGATGGAGGAATGCTTTTGAGCATCCAATTGCCCCGAATATGAGTGGGTGCCCCCTGGCAGGACTGCAGTGAGTGAGGCAGCATGGATTTACACCCTTGGTGCTGGCAGACACCAGGGAGGAGCGAGATGCTGCAGTGGACACAGTCAGGAGCGTTTGAACTTGTATCCTCTCTGCTGCCTCATTAGTAGCCTGGGTTGGTTCTTCCCATGTTAATACAGCGTTTAAATTCTGCCAGGGATGATAAAAAGGAAGGATTAATAAAAAAAGAGCTGGCATTGTTGGAGCAGAAGAGGGGATGCGGGGCGGTCACTGCTCTACAGAACAGGAGCTTCATGTCTTAACGGGATTTTTTAAATGGTACTTGAAATTCAAAATGCTAATCCCAGCTCTTTTCTGAACCTCGGCTCTGGTTTGGATCAGACTTGATGGAGCTTATTTAGTGCCCTTGTGGGAGTAGTGCCCCCAGGTTTGCTCTGGACCAGGGACCTGAAATTTAACTTAGAGATAAAACATGTCCTCTTGTTGTGGAGGAGAGCTGCTGAGGATGGGCTGTGCAGGATGCCTTGGATGAGGCCGAGCAGAGCTTTGTTTACAGCTGCTTTTGCAGGTGTTGCAGCTGTGGCTGTCAGTGGTGTTTCCTGCCCATCTGGAGTGGGTCTGGAGCTGGTCCCGTTCCCCAGCACCCCCAAAAGCTGCCCTGGTGAGATGGTGTGTACATGCAGGATGGTGAGAGTCCTGTGGTGCTCCATAGTGCCATAGAGCTGACAGCTCAGTTTGAGTGAGGCATTGGGATTTCCAGGATGTGACACAGGTCCAAATGGTAAAATAATTATGAATGGTGTTTGGAGAGTGGGAGGAAGTGAAGGAGATGTGCCAGTGTTATGGGATCACAGAGTGGTTTAGGTTGGAAGGAACCATCCACTTCCAGCCCCCAGCCATGGGCAGGACCCATTTTTTGGGGTGTGCTTTCCCCCTGCGCCCGTTGTTCATCTCCACAGCTGTTTTTGTGTGCATTTCTCCAGTGATGTTTGTATTTGTGCCGTGCCACTGCCCTCCCCAGCTGGCTGAATCCCCACTCCTGACAGCCAAGTCCCTGCTCCCAGTGCTGCCTCCTGCCAGTGGGAGTAGTGGGAGATGGGAGTTAAAAATAAAAGGAGAGAGGAGCGAGGAGGGCTCCAGGTCCAGCTCTGTGGATGCGCCCTCTCCCCTCCGGTGGCAGTGAAATCTGCAGCAGTGCCCCAGGACTCACAGCCCGACCTCACTCCATCCCTTCCTCTTAGTTCCATACTGTTCCTGCTCAGGCTTTCTCTCCTGGGGGCACAAATGTGAAGTCGAGCACAGTTGCTGTTTGCAGAGGTCAGGTCTTGTGTGTATCCATCTTTTCCAGAAGCCCCCGGCTGCAGAAGTCCCTACAGACCTTGCAGATGAATATATTCACTTGTTTAGAGGCCATCTTCCTTTCCCTTTTTAACCCTCTTCGTTGCCATCGGTGCCTTCGAGCTCTTGTGCTCGTGCAGAAGGGTCACAGTGAATAATTCAGCTGTCCTGTGTCCCTCCCATCGGGAGTGGGGCTGTCACATGGCTGTGCCCGCAGCTCCGCCTGCTCTGCCTCAGCTTGCCGGGCTTTAGCATTGCTGAAATGCTGGGTTTTTGGGGGTGGGGAGGAGCAGAGCTGCCCTGGCAGGTCAGACATCATGGCTGCCCTTAGAGCATTCCTGATCCCACAGGCACTGCGGCAGGGAAGCTGCTCTGCCTGCTCCCTCGGGGTCCTGGGGCAGGAGGGGCTGGTGAATCTTCACTGCTGGGCTGGGCAAGGAGCAAGGTGACAGGACCGATGTAGATGAGCTTTACACGCTCCTCTGTGAGATGTTCTTGTGTTCCCACATGCTCCTGTCTGTGTGAGATGTTCTTGTGTTCCTACATACTCCTGCATGTGTGAGATGTTCTTTTTCTCCTACATGCTCTTGTCTGTGTGAGATGTCCTTGTGTTCCTACATGCTCCTGTGTGGGATATTCTTGTGTTCCTGCATGCTCCTATGTGAGATGTTCTTGTGTTCCCACATGTTCCTGTTTGAGATGTTCTTGTGTTCCTACATACTCCTGTGTGTGTGAGATGTTCTTGTGTTCCCACATGTTCCTGTTTGAGATGTTCTTGTGTTCCTACATGCTCCTATGTGGGACATTCTGTGTTCCCGCATGCTTCTGTGTGAGATGTTCTTTTGTTCCTACATGCTCCTGTGTGAGATGTCCTTGTGTTCCCCAGCAGCTGAGGGGTCCTGGGTGTCCCTGTGCCACAGGGACACTGTTCACAGCAGTGGGTGCACATCATGGCAGGGCAAGCCAAAAGCTGGGCAAAGCCTTTTCTGTGCTTTAAACATGGCTGCAGGCAAAGCCCAGACTCTAGGCCAGTTCGGGGTGGTGTGTCATGTCCCCAGCCTGGGAGGGGCCTGGTGGGGTGATGGACAGGGTTGGAGGGACAGACAGAGCTCAGAGGGGACACTGAGCCCCAGGGTCCCTTGGTTTGTGTTGGGGAGCTTCAGGTCTGGCACGTGGGGGTTTGGTGGTCCCACTGAAGTCGACTGAAATACAAGAATACTCTTGACCCACTGAGCCCTGGTGCCAGTCTGGGCACCAGAGAGTGATAAGAGTGACAATAAGTGCAGCCAGGTATGTCAGCTGTGTGCGCTGGGTGTCTGACAGGATGGAGCCAAAAGGGTTCAGCCTCATCCCCGTGGATTTAATCGAAGTGTCTTTGTGTGTGAGCTGCTCGGAAGCTGTACAAATGTTTGTTTTGCCATGTATCTCCCCATTAATGAGATTTCTCAGGAAATATGCAAAATTATCACTACAGGCAGAACATGTACAGTAAGGCTCATTAAGCTAAGTACTGTGATAAATTGCTTCTTCCAGAAAATTATGTATATTAGCAAAAAAGAAGGAGAGTGAGCCCAGGTGGAAGGCCAGGAAGACAGAGTGTGTGGCATTGTTGTGGCTCCAGGTGACCTGAGCACACCTGCCTCAGGGGAGTGTCCTTGCACCATGGGATGATCCTGGAGGAGCTGTGGGGAGGGGAGGGCAAGCAGAGGACAGCATGGGAAATGGAGATGGAGCAGTGCTGTGTCAGGACCAGACCAGGCACAAAGCCAAAGAGGCTCTTTGCTTGGGAAAAACCTGAAACGAGGCAACTGTGGAAGCACAAGGAGCAGAAAGTTTTGCTGAACTGAAAGAAGGGATGAGGGCAGGGGTGTCACAGGCTGCTTGCACCTCTGCACTTCTGCCTGTGCCCCTGCCTGCAGTGGCCAGAACCAGGGCTGGTGTTGGGAATGTGGGCACTGCTTCTGCCCCCCAAATCAGGGAGCAGACTTCTGGCTGTGAACAGGGAGCAGGCTGGGGCATGTGGTGTGTCATGGGCTCACAGAGTGGTTTGGCTTAAAAGGACCTTCAAAGACCATGAGATTCCAACACCCCTGCCATGAGCAGGAACACCTGT